CCACAGCAGACCTGCTTATATAGTTACAGATGAGACAAAACCGAGTTGTGCGAGACTCCTTCTCCATGGTCCGTCTGAGAGCAGCTTGAGCTGGCGCTGTCATGGAATCGGCCTCATCCAGTATGATGATCTTAAAAGGAGGACACGACTTCCCGCTGCAAATGTAGCAAAATAGTGAAAGTTTCGGCATTAGTTTGGACTTCACTGACAGAGACTTTGGTACTTTATTTCAATAATTATTCCAAAAGCTGTTCTGTCTGTAAACGGAGTTATCATCAGAGCACTGCTGGCACCACTGAAATGGGCTTTATGACACACAGTCACTTTACCTTTGCATGTTTTAAAGGAAAACTGTACATACAGGAACTTATTCCTTCAGTTTGTGATTGGCTCTACAATTAGAGGATGATGTCTGATGTATGCAGAGCTGAAAACAATCCCAGTTTGCCTTTTAATTCACATTTACCAATTTATAAATGTGAGTAACCTCGTACAAAAAAAACCCAAAACAAAAAATAAGTATAGCTGTTTTCTTATTGTCACAAACTGTAAAATGCTTACTCACTCTGGGCGTGTCCCGGCAACAGTGAGCTGAGCAAAGTTTTTGACTTTATCTCTGACGACCTGGATGCCTCTTTCATCTGAGGCATTGAGCTCCAGCACCCTCTGCCTGTACAGTTGTGGACTGAAAACAGAGACACGAGTCAAATATGAGCAGTAACAGTGCAAAGAAAAAAGGAGAGAGATCAACAAAGGTTTAAAAACTATGATGAAGAAATGACTGATGTGAAATCTCTTATCAAATACCACACATAGAGTTTACCCACCCATAAAGTTCTCTGGCAGCAGCTAAGATGGTAGAGGTCTTTCCTGTTCCAGGAGGGCCATAGAAGAGCAAGTTGGGAAGCTGCAATTTAAACACAGATCCAATGATACTGTGCCTTTATGGCCTTGCAAAATGAGCACAAGTACAACCTGAATACAAAAATATTGGAAATAACCATGTTTATACTGTATATCTGACAACACACTGCTACATTGTGACAAAGCAATCTGACACAAGTTTGAAAACATTCTTACAGTATACGTGGTACATGCACGAGAACAAAAACACACTCATCTCCTATCAGGTGATGGGAAGTCTGCTGACTACGGCATTTTTATTGTTATCAAACCAAATGCAGTAATTCAGCCGAGGCTATAAAAAAACCCCAAAACAACCAAATGTTACTTACATCTGCTCCCTCCAGAGACTTCTTCAACACTGCTACAACCTCCTCCTGAAAGGCCACCTCATCAACACACTTCGGCCTGCTGGAGTTCATTGAAGAAAGAGAAAAAAAAAACTGGTTTGAGTACCTTGCAAGCTTCAATATCAGCACAGGCTACAGATTATATATAGACTCCAGAGAACTGTGCAACAACAAAACAGAAGCACTTTTAACCGCATCACTGTGAAATATTTGTTAAATTTAAACATCTGAAAGTCAATAATATGACTCACTATCCATTACATTTCACATTGTCTTGCCTCTAAAATGACAAACATAACCTTATATCATAATTTAGGTGATAATTGTGTGTTAAACAAAAGTTTCACAAAAATATGACTTTAGATTATTTTATTGTCATTAGTCAACATATCACAGAAGCATTGCTGAACGAAATTACAAAAAGAGAAGAACACAAAAAAATAAAAAAATAAAAAGATCACAACATCAGAACCAGGTTAAAATACTGTAGTGTAAGTATCTATTACACAATAACTGATAGAATAAAATATATTAGGATGCTAGTGCACTGCATAAGAATATTAAATAAATATATACATAATAAATAATACATTTGTGAAGTAATGGCAATCAGTTAAAAGCTGCAACAGAAATTGTCACAAAATTATATATGAGGACTAGAAATTTTTGTAAAGATGGGGAAGGAAAAAAAAACGTACGTCCAACTGTTTTATTTGTAGCTCTGCGGTTACCCTCCAACGCACTTACATGCAAAATATGTGTTCCATGTTTGGGGGATTTAATAATCATCTTGAGTCAAGAAACAATCCTGAATTTCACTGTGACATCAAAAGATGATCAAAATGTAAAAATGAGACACATGACGCTATTATTCATTATGCATTTTACAGAGTAAACATTTCTGTAAATCAACCCCAAGACTAAAAAAAAACACAAAAAAATGTTGGATTTTTATGGCAATACTGAACAGTCCCCCGGTTAAAAGGCGGTTAAGTTTTGTCCTGAAGGATTCTTGAGATTCCTGTAACTCTATATAGTTAATCAGATGTAGTGTACAGTACACCTTTGTGGGTCATACTTACTACTTTTCTACCCAAGGAACAGCCTTGGCTTTCTTCTCTGCACTGGGTCCAGCCACTGCCTTATCTTTCTGAGGCCTGGCTGCCTGAACTGTTGCTCCTTTCAAAAATGCTTGCATGACTCTTCTTTATTCTGTTAAAATGAACATACAAAATGCACACACTATAATTATTATATCATAATTATACAGAGGTAGGGTAGGTTGTAACAATATTTTGGAAACAAAGATAAAACAAATGTCCAGCACTGTGCTGAATTCCATCCTGTACCATGATATCCACATGTAGCTGCCTTGTTTAATCAAGCTATT